GAGTTGATGAAACTGCGTCAGATCGCTCGCGGTTGGATTCAAATCAAAATCAGGATGCTTTAAACGGAAATATTAAAAGAGAAATAATGTTTGCCTCGTTGCTGGTAACAGGAGAATTATCTCTTGTATTGCTAGCTGGACTGAACATTCTTTTGAAGTTAAAATTGACAGAAATGCAGAGTTTTCAGAAAGTTTAAAAAGACGTTCAGTTATGTTAGATTCGTAAGCAGTTTTAATTTTTATAGGCCTAGCGAACCAATTTTGGGCGATACTAAGGAAATGGAACAAGCGACACGGCGAGGCCACCCGAATGCCTTGAAACGAGCTCAACGATCACGCCCTGCTGGCCATGCCCAGTGGTCGGTGTCGGATGCAGAAGACCGACCAGGTATTCTAATAAACATCAAGAAGTTATTTTTCTGGATTTAATTTCCGTGGAGTTTATTTTTTACGCTGAGTCACAGGAACTGCCAGAGTTTTTTTCAGAGAAAGACTTATACGAGCAATATACTTCATTACCTCGTGAAGTTTCTATATCTTCAAAGGAGAAGCAGCAGCGAAGGAAATCTGTGGGAAGGTAAGCTTGCTGCTCAGTATAACTGCGCTCTGAGAACCACATTCTGGTTCTTTTCTTTCGAAATAATGAGGCTCAGCGCTACTCTAAACTTTTTAAATCAGCAGGGGATTGCTGACCGAGATATAGTCTTGAGTTTCAGCAGTTTGTTCTCCAAGATAAGCCAGAAGTTTGGCGGTTCGCGATCACGTGACGCTTCGCCTGAGAAAGTGTCTTCCATCGACGCTGCTGTCACTACCAGTGAGAAACAACAAAGGTATCATTCTGAACGAAAAACATAATTTTTAGACAAAATGAGAAAATGTTTTTGTTAAAAATCAAAATTTTTCCTACTGTTAGATTACTGATAGATTTGGCGATTTTCCTCAGTACTAGTTTCTCTGGGCAGTACGATTTACGAGGCCCTCAGTGCTTTAGATACATAGCAAAAAAAAGATAAAGTATCGTGATTTTTTTCAGAACGAAAATCCGAAACTGTAATAAACAAGATAATTATACAGCAGTTCGCAAATTGCCACCACCGTATAGGCCACCTGCTGATGCATGTGAAATGCGACAGCCGCCAGATTATTGTTCCAGAGTGAGTTCTATTTTTCCATTTTT